TGGGAAATCAAGTTTTTTAAAAAGTAAAAAAAGCAAAGTATAATTCTGAAGTTAGTTGAGAATACATACAATAAAAAGTCTTTTTTTAAAGCTGAAATCTAGGCACTTGTGTTGTTTCAGGATGGATGTCAGAAGCTATAAGAGAAGAGGCCAAAGCAGTCTGATACCAGAGTGAAAGCGTCCCTGGATTAATGTAAAAATAGCAAAGTGACAACAATCCAAACAGACCATTACACTGGTAGATTGAAACTGTTCATGCATGATTCATCTGTCAATCACAGCTCCTGACCTGACATGGAAAATATGGTGATTCATGAGTTAATCATAAATAATTTCTCCAATTTTAAAATTACATACAAATATATATACATATATATTAAATATTTTGCTTTTTCTAAATTTGAGGATGCTTTATGTTAGATTTTGTTGTTTGGCAGTAATATAATGATAGTCCTAAGTCAGAATTCACCTTTCATGTTAAAGTTAATGTGTTGTATTGGAATTTCAAGCAATAAAAATGTGGTAAGAAAAATATCTTTTTCATTGATAAAAGAAAATGTAAAACCTTCAGATTTCAGTGAATAAGTTTCAAGAATTTAATGTTATTTTTAAGCAGCATAAATTCTGCTTTACCAAATGTGGATCTATTCATATAGTTAGAAATTTGTAACAGATTGGGAATCAATTGACCCTGAAACTCACATGTTATGAAACTGTGTCAGCCAAAGAGGCAACTACACAAGACATATAGCAGTTTTGATCTTGGAGCAAGGAAGAAACAAATGTGACCAATTAAAAGTAAAATCATAGGACTGGAGAGAAAGCTCAGAAGTTAAGCACACTAGCTGTTCTTGCAGAGGACCTGGGTTGGTTCCCAGCAGCCACATGGCAGCTGACAACCATTTGTAACATCAGGGGATCTGACACCCTGTTTTGGCTTCTATGGACACCAGGCACACACGTGATACACATACATACAAACAGGCAAAACACATTCCTACCCATAAACAAAAAAAAACACATATTTAAACATAAAAGCATAGCAGTGAGAGTAAAAAGCAAGCAGCCTTAGTCTTCTAATTGTCTCCATTTAAAGGATAGAACACTTTTGAAGATGTCCTGCAGCACTCCAGACCATTGTCTAAGTACAGTTTATTCCCTAAGATGACTCACATTAAAGTTAAATGGCCACTATATGTGATGACAGGTGGGACTGAGTGGGAACGTGAGGTGATAAGTGTTCTGCTGGCATGAATGGATTAACAGACAAAAGTTTTTTCTTGGCATTGGGTCTGTCTTAGATGCAGTTTGGAAAGTTCTTTCATACAATCGCTGTCTCTTCCCATGTGATGCTCTTGGGACTCTGCCAGCAAGAAGGCCATGGACCAGTTGAAGACATCATCCATGGACCAGAGCCACGCCCAAAGTTTATCTCTGTCCTTTATGATTTATGGAGTCTCCTGTGTTCTGTAATTAATATAAAAAACTGGACTGATGCAATAGAATATGAGACAAGGTTATTTTCTTTGTCTTCACTATGGCCTTTAATATTCCTTTAATGACAGAGAAAAACAGAAATACATATAGCTCTTAATAAGCTTTTAATAGGTACTGGTTAACACTGTGGTTGCTAACCTTTCAGAAGAATCCCTGAGGGAATGAACTGGCAGCTGGGCACATCCTTCTGTGAAGTGCATGACCAAGCCAGGACAGCTCAGGCTCTGCAGATCTCTTACTCAAACTGACCTTCCCACCATTTAACAGGAAGTGAGTTGTCATCTGGAAGAACTACAACTAATGGAGGCAGCTTCTAAATGAAAACGGCTCATTTCTCACAGCTAATCAAAACGAAAGGCTTGTGGAGGAGGTTTACACAGAAACCTGCAGGTGAGCCCCCATCTCCTACCAGCACGTGACTCAGAACACACATTCTAAGCTACCTGCTTAGGAAGGAAGAACCAGAGAAGGCTGGCCCTCCCCTGTGCTTCTTGGGTGTTGTGTTGTTGTGACCCTGGATTACAGCTGCTTCTTTCTTGCGAGTGTATTTGTGTTAGTGGCCACACCCCTCTGGGTGTGTCTTCAGGTGCTGACAAACCCAAAAGAGGGACGTGTCAGGCAGGGGCTTGCTCTTTCTTGGTCACAGATGGGATCAGAAGGGCAGAGAAAGGCTGCAGAGGTTCTTTAATATTATCTGTGTAAGTTGTTCCCCAATAAAACACCCACTTATCATTTACTTTGGGTCTACTGAACTCATTATCACCCGCCTTCACTGGAGTGTGAGCATGACCCTGGAAGTCTCCTGAAAGCCCACAATCTCACGTGAATGGCTCTGGCAGAATAAGTTATAATTCTGTGGCCTTCCTGATTGAGCTTGCCCATCAACCACAGGCCTCACCTAACGGTGCAGTGTAGAGAGTTGAGCATGTGTGTAATAGTTTACATGCCAAAATGCGCATGTGTACACCAGATCCCATCCTTTCGACTACTGAGCAGCCTACTCAAAAGCTGTGCCTTGAGCCCATTAGCATTATTAGAAAGGCATTTCTCCATCACACATCATATTGGTCATGCTAGAACCACCTAAAATATCGCAATTCATCATTTTGTCGTATATTAAAAGATTTATCAAGCATATTTTAAAATGATTGACAAATAATACTATGATTGAAGGATACAATGAAATCATAAAGTAATTTCTGGTAAGTCACCTCTAAAACTTTAAAAGCACTGGCATTTATTTCAACAAATATTATCTGCAAATCCAGCTAAGTCATAGTAACTTTACCAGATTCCTGCTCTAAACTTAGTGTTCCAACAGAAAACGGTGTTATCCTGCCATCTAGTGGCTGTTTTCTAACATTGCAGAGACACATGTTGAAGACCTATGAATACAGGGAACAATTTTTTTTTTCTTTAACATAATCTCTTTATTGATTCTTGGGGAATTTCACACTATAAACCCTAAGTCCACTCACCTCTCAGTCACCTCATATCCTTCCCTCACCTCTTCAGTATCCCCCAAAAGAAAACTAAAAAAAAAAATTAAAACGAAGAAAACAAACAAAACCAAGAATAAAACAAAGCAAAGAAAGCCTCTTTGCTTCTGCATTTTTCCCACCTCTCCAACACCTCTTTATTCATCCGGGTGGCATTGAAAGAAGTGTGTCACATAGTATACCCTTTTGTCCAATCAGCCTTACTAGCAAGTATGTATCGCAACCAGTCACTGGTCTGTTTCAAGTCCTCGGTTTCTGGTACACCATAGTCACTGAATCCTCACTGAAACTCCTCTGGGATATTGAGACTGAGTCATGGAGATCCTGTGGGTATTGTTCCATAGGACCAGTCCCTTCACTAGCTCCAGCAGGTCCTATATGGGGTAGATGTTAGGATGGGCCAACCCAACACTGACTGTGGGCCTGGGAAGTAGGAAGTAGCTGAGTTGGCCAGACCAGGCCACTGGGGACCAGCAGCCTCAGGTGAGGGAAAGAAGCCAGCTCCCCTTTGCCCAGGCTATCTGGTAAGTTCTCCTTCACATGTGGTGAGGGGTAGGGCCATCTCCAGCTCTCTTGCTGCAGTGTCCAGTGAGAGGCAGAGCCAGCTTTCCCAGGGCCGGCAAAGGGTATGGCCAACTCAGCATGGCCCTCTGATCTCATCATGCATGGTTCCTATGGCCCTCCGAGGTGACACATGCCACAGACATCAACACAGACCCCAGCTGCAGCTGGACCATGGACCCAGACATGGACCTCAGCATCAGTTCGGGTCCAGATGACATTCTGGTTATGGGTGGAAGCACTGGCCACTCAGATCAGGGTGACACTGGGGTGGCATGGCTTCAGGACACAAAGCCACAGGTTGTGGCCCCAAACCTAGGCTTCCTTGTGCCCTCTGGTGGCAACATGGGCCACGACTTCAACCCCAGCCCTTATATTTTAAACTTCTAGATCTAACACATGGATAGGAGACAGTGGTTTGCTGACATGATGGGAAACTTTACTTAGAGTAAGCATGGGCAGAATAAAATTGTAGGATTAAATATTTCAAACTCTGAAGTTGACTGGATTGAAAATGATCTACTAACTACTGCTCCTTTAAGAAATAATACAGTTTTCCAAGAGGGAAATGTTTTGTAACAATTAGCCTCAATCTGGAACACTGAATTTGTTGAAAAGCATCTTAATCATGATCGCTTGTTTAAAAGTTCACATGCAAAAAGGATGCTGTATTTTTAACACACAAGAGAGAAAGAGAAGTGTTGCCTTCCCGTGTGTTTGCACTTAGTTTCCTGCATGTGCATGATCCAATGCAAATATACAAGGTGAGTTTCGGTCCAGTGGTACCAGGAGTCCTGCCACCATCTGTTGTTCTGTAGTTTCTGATTGCCCCAGGATTAAGGAAACATTCATCACTGAGCAGTGACTACAACTTCCATCATCACACTCAAAGATTTCCCTCCAACCCTGTTATCTTAGAAGCTAAGCTTACCAAAAGTGCCATAAGCACACCCCACACAAGCCCTTGGCCTACAAGCAAGCTCAGTGCCTGCTCTAAGAACATGTTCATGCTTCAAGTGGGAAATCAGCCGTGTCCCCCCACAGCCCCTGCACCTTGTTCAGCCTGAGAGAGAAGAACAAGAGAGAAGCCACTGGAGACCATAAGGCGACAACAACACAAGTGTACCAAGCAGAGTGGTCACAGAGAGTGGAGACGAGTATAAAATGTAACTTCTAAGGTGGCTCCACGGTCAGAATTTCTATCGTGGGATCTTGCTTTAAAACAGAAATTAAACCATTTCCCCCCCCAAACAAGGGAGGGTTGCTGCTTCGTGACACACTGTTGTCTGTCCCACCCCCGCCCCCGAGACTCTCAAGTGAAAAATTTAGCCTCTCTGATTGGAACCCAATTTTCCATTCACTCTGTGTTCACTCTGCAAGAGGAGTGAGCAGCCTCGCGCTCAGGGCATTAGTCATTATCTGCAGATGGATGCACAGACTCACCAGACTGTTCATTTTGGAGGATGAGGACCCAGCTCTGTGCTTCCTTAAGCTGCTGGCTTCGGCATGCCCATCCTTTGGCTTTAAGACCATTCTGCCGCTCCCCGCTGTCCCTTCAGACGAGGACCGCAGCCGCCGCTCTATGTATCTTCCTTCATGATATGGACTCAGGCTACTGGCAAGAACTTTTCCAAGGCAAATAAAGAAAAATGAGCATCAATACTTACATGGAGTTTTTAGTTAATGTAGCATTTTAAGATTATGAAAAATCTTAGAATGATTCAAAGGTTCTCTACCTCGGGAAAATTTCTGCGCTTACAGTCACAGTTGGCTTCATCCCTTCTGAAGACTAACAGCAGTCACATAAGCAAATCTGTCTTGTATCATACTGGCCATTCCATCACTCAGGCATTTGCTAGGTCAAGGCCAGCATGGGTTTCGTGGGGAGTTAGGGTCAGCCTGTCCTATACCAGATGTGCTCACAAGAAACTTATGTATTTAGACTACAAAACTGTTGTGTTCTAAGGGGACCAGCTCAACAGCTGTCTTAATGATTTTTGATATGATAATATGTCATTTGATTTATTTTTAACTTTATTTGATATTTTATATCATTCATATAATATAGTGTAAGACTCTGAACTTTACACCATGCTAACCTCCTCACTGCTACACAGTGGCTTGTTTCCCAGTCTGCAAAATCTGAAGCACAAAAAGCCAAACAGAGCTTGTGCCCATCAATCATCTGCTCTGGGACACGGGAAGAGTATACATCTTCCCTGCCCACAGTCCACTTGCTTAAGAAAGAGTTAACAATTAGAAGAACAAGTGAGACCATTTTCATTTATCACTTACAAAGACCACACATTATCTCTGGATACCTAAGCACCATTTTCAACATTGAGACAGTTATTGCTAGCAGCCATGTTAATGACACAGAGAAAATACTAAAATAGAGCATGGGAAAGAGGCAAGTGAGTGGGGAGACACTCAACAGTTCCTTTGAGTATTTTCTGGAAACCAAAGTGAAATAATTCACACACACACACTCTTTATACACACTCATGCAACGACCAAGGTAAAAGCATTTAAAATTTAAAGCTACATAGTTATGTTGAGGTAGGTTTTGAACTTGGCAGGCTTTCTAACTCAAAGGACTATACTTTTATTTTGACAGACAGAATTTATTTATATCAAAATATAGATCCTAGTTAATAGAGCTTTGTTAACACAGGAAACAGAGCTGAGTGTTGGTGTCGCACACCTTTAATCCCAGCACTCAGGAGGTAGAGGCAGGTGGATCTCTGTGAGTTTGAAACCAGCCTGGTCTACAAGAGCTAGTTCCAGGACAGCCTCCAAAGCCTCAGAGAA